AATTCGGTTTTACCTTCAGTCATTGGACTAAGTTGTCTTTATCTTGTAACCGTTCCAAGCACGAAATATCCTTTTGCTCCTCATATGTAGCACATGTTGCAACACAGACAGTTAATATCGCACATCTTATTGCAGACTCTCCCAAGGAGTTCGACTCTACTTCACACGCGTACAGCTCGACTCAGTCATCGTCGGGTAAGGCTGAAGCATAAGTTGTACGGCGCTCTAATCTCGATGACCTCTAATATTTATATGCGTTTTAGATTCAATTACTCCCACCAGTGCCGTTCATAAGGAGCCCGTGGTCACAAGTAATGCACCTGCAGCTTCAGCAGGTAATTTTTCACCGCTCATGCTGAGTAAAATATCTGAGAAAGACGAAAAATTCAATTTTTCAGCTAAAATACCGCAATATGAAGTACCGCCATGTGATGTCACCGAAGGTTTAAGAGCCATAGCATTGTGGGATTACCAAGCTGGTTAGTTGATTAATTCTGCTGTAGTTTTCTCAGATTTTTTTATCAATGTCACATTAATACGATTCGATTCAGCTGATGGGACGGAAATTTCCTTCGATCCTGACGACATCATAACGGAGATTGACCAGGTGAGTGCTGTGCTTTGGTCGGAAAATCAGGCAGGAACAATGATCAGGCTACCCGCAGTAGTGGGTAAAAGGGCCGGGATATTGCTAAGAATCAGACGTAGATTCGTAAAGAGCTTACAATCAGGGCAGGTTAATGCTGCGGATGAGTTGGAGTGAACACAAATGTGAGGGATTTCCCACTTCAGAGAAGAATGATGGAGGTGCTGCCGCCTTAAAAACTTTTCCACTCCATGACTAGACCATGAACTGCATGAATCTACGACACCAATCAGACTTCGTCTAAGATGCGCCACACACTCTGTTCCCATCCAAGGTCGACATTTCAATGCGATTTAATCTGATAACGTCTTACAGGGACCAGCCAATGTAAAGTCTGTGTTTCGATCACTGCGAACAACTTTCAGTGACCTACTTCGCAGGGATGTAGTGTTTGTTTGCCTAGGCAGGGTTTGAACCGAAAATTGACATCCGGACTGCGAGTGTGGTATGTGGAGACGTTTGCAACGACTTCAGTTCCACCTAAAAGAGCAGTTTCCGAAGAAAGTGATTACTGCGCTAACTATTGAGATCGTGTTTGGTGAACGACTGAATGGAATTGGTCCGTTCAACTTCTGCCCTACTTGCGATTTCGAAATCAATAAAGATTCTTTCCCTCAAATTATACCACAGTTCTCATCAAATACTGCGCGTAGCTTAAATTTTTGCGTAGGCGCGTAATCGTCATGGCGGTCGTGCACTATTCAACAGCATACGGTCCGGCATAGGGCATGCCACCTCTGTTCATCGCCGATCCGGTGGTTGGCCAGAAACAAGGTCTGATGTTGGGTACATTAATAGGTTCCTACTTGACGCAAGTGTGCCTAGAATCACCTCGATCCGCACCGAACCACTCCTTCTTCTGCAACACTTTTCGCTGTCGCTGTCACGCCTCGGGAAACGCGATAAGCGTGCCACGGATACCGAGCAAAGCACTACCCGCACTTGGCGGCCATCGGGTTATTGTAAGTGAGTAACTGAAGACCGTTTTCGTGATTCGTGTCCACTTGCGACAGCGCATCTTCTTTAACACGTTGGCGACGATGTCGGTCAATGGTGACCGACAGCTTGAAAGTAAGCAAACTTAGATGGAACCCGCGACTTTTCTATTTCAACGTTTACTTCAGTGTCCTAACTTACTACACTTGTCTGCGAATTATGATCTTTCTAATTCCTGGGAGTTTTATTCTGAATTAGTTATCAGTGGCAGAAACGCGCTGTCAATTGAATCACAACCACAAAGTTCCCACCGTCAGCAAACTGGAAATCTCACTAAAATTGTTCATATCGACCTTTACTAATTAGGTCACCGTCAGTAGAATGTCCATTTCTAGCCTTAGGTTCCCATGATGGTCAAGTAGGCTCAGTCTTACTCATAGGCAGGACAAAAGTACCTATCCAGTCCATCAACTGCCAAATATTTCACAAACAATTTTTTGACCTTGAAATGACTCGTTTAAATCTCTTATTCGATCATGAAGAACAAGATAACAGTCAAACAAAAGCTCATTCCGTCAGGTACGCAAAGTTTTTGCGTCATTCTTGAGTGAAAAATTCGTAGAAGATTCAGATGTGATCAGGATACCAGTACCATCTAAAGGAAAGCTCATATTAATAATAAAAAAGAAGAATGTGAAATGCGTTCCTTAAACTATTCTATCATTATAATCTTGAAATGCCAGGCGATGTATCACTAGAAATTTCCCGCTCAGCATACACTATAACAAACTCTTTCCTTCTTTTCTATAAGGTTCTTGAGTGCTGCCACGTCAAAGCGTTTTGTGCAATTTCGAATTATTGGTACAGAGCTTACCAAAATAAGTTGCCTCGTTTAACCCGCCGCTGCATGCAATAACACGCCCTCGGGGTTCCCAATCGCCTCACGACTAGGAAAAAATCAGCTCGTCGACCAACTGTTTTTAATGAGTGCGGCGAAGAGAAGGGTGCCTTGTTATGGGCTTAGTAGGTAATTCTTCGCTTTCTTTTTCTCTTTCCGGGCTACTACACACCTTCAGCTACTTTTTAACGCTCTTGCATACCCATTTTATCCCGGGTCTCGTCTTTAACACCATCCCGATGGGGAACTCGCTCCTGCAATTTGACATGCAATATTGGATACCGTTAGTCAGGAAGAAACGCGCATTAAGTTCTGTGCGCAAGAAACTTGAACAGCTATGATAACACGAATCAGGATGATGGGGCACTGTCTGCCTTGAGGTTTCCACTCTCAGCTCATTAACTTTTTTAAGTTTACTGCAGTTGACCTCAGGATGGGCGTCGACCAAGACCTCGAGGAAGGGCGACTTCGGGGGCTATTTTCCGTGCCAACTCACTTAGCCTTTCCCCCCTCTAAATCTCTGTATAACCTTCATGCGATACTAACCAACCACAGCTCCTCGATGACTCCTTCGTTTCGGTTTTCCCACGACATTCCTACCCGTAGATTATCTCGCTCAAAACGCCTCCGTTTTGAACCAGTTCTCTTTGTAAAGTGTTTTATTGATCAACTGTCGACTCATTCAATGATTCATTGAACATTTTCGTACTGAATCTCGGCCATTTCTCGCCACATATGGGCAATTCCAAGTTTCTACCCTCACGCTGCTTTCGTTTATACTTCATCGGCTCCCAGTGATCGCTTCCATAGTTTTAAATATTTATTTTTATTATCTGTTCCGCCTGTTTCACTTTGTAATGTGCCATTTGGTCTTCGTTTTCGTCTTCGCGGAGACAGCCTTTTGCACGACGAGAATATACTATATAAATAGGTTTTTCACTTTAGTGTGACCGTCTGCGGTCAATTGAATACAAATTCCTGAATAACAAAAGACCGGTCCAAGACATTCGAATCGAAGACTCCGCTCCCTGATCGGGTTCAACCAACCTTACCCTCTCCCAGCCACCACTGTCAATCCGGTCAATCCTCCAACAAAGAGCAAAACAAAAACAAAAGAACTGCTTAAACACGCATGCGAAAGTCCTCATTTTCTCATTTAAAGTATGTCCAATGTTCGATTTTACGGCACTTGGGCCGAGAACGAGATCAACACGATGACACAAAAGCAAAAGGACGTGCGACACACCACACATGGACCTTATACCGTAGGTCAAATCTTTTATTGTCAGATAACCTTTGATAAGGTCACATTCGATTAGTAAATCGCAAGCTAAAGTCTAAGCCCAAGGTAGGCTCCAGCGATTACAAGACACTTGACGTCTCCTGATGGACACGGGCAAGTCGTATAACAGAGATAAGACTTGATCTCGGGTACTGCATACAACCTATGCCCGCGCAAATCGTAAGTTATACACTAGGAAGCCCTACCTTTTCTGTCAAAGCTTATTCCATTCATATGGATAGTGATTCATAACAACGTTCACTAGCCCGAGTAAAAATACCGCCCAACGAATGCTAGTGATTTTTTGGCGGGTTAGGCTTCAGTGGGGCCGGGTGTTCGTAAGTTTTAGAACTTGTGATTTTGTGTTGTAGGAGTAAATCGTTTTTAGTATCTTTTTCACTGAAAACAATCTAGACTTACAAAAATGTGTAAAATTAGCTGCTTCAGAAGCGTATGGACAACCCCTCCTCTCTGTCCGCTAAACTCCCGGCTTGAAGACAGTTTTGGAGGAAATTTGTGTAGAGGTTAGGTGGAGTATACCATCTGGGTCAGAAATAATGGTCCTGAAAACAGTCACGATGGTGGAAACTGAGGTGATGGTGAAGGATGATGGTGAGGATGCCCTCTATGAGTGATGGTGATGGGTGATCGCATTGAAGCCCTCTCTATAGGAAAGTCATGAGTTTTTTTGAATCATCACACCAACGTTTAACCTGCACCCTGCAACGGGCATCACTTGATTATTTTTCTCCTCCCATCTTGTTCCCCTGATTTTTTATAACATGATCAGTGATCACTACGGTGGATGATGATCACCACTACATTTCAGAAACTCCTTCCACAAAAAGACAACGGATCTGAGTTGACGGAAAGCTGGAACGGACTGACTTATTTGTCAGAGAAGTTCTCATTCGTTATTACAAGTTTTTTCCCCTGGCAACCCGGATCTTTCTTTTTCCTGCGTATGCTTTACATCTCCCTTTTGCGGGATCCACCTAAGGGTATGCATGTAGACAAAAAGGGTGCTTTCTATTGTAGGTGATATTATCGCAATGACGACATCACGTAACATTATTATAGAAAGCACCCCAAAGTTTGAAAAACTCCTAGGACTAATTCCGCAATCGACTTGCCTGCAACTACGGAGACATTCAGCGAGTTCACTCCTGTCCGTTTGTTACTTGTGGAGCTGATTGAAAGCAATGCGTCACAACTGTTTGCGACTTCCTCAGAGACGCCAGCACCTTCGTCGCCTGGAACATCAACATTAATATGAAACGACAAAATCATTTCAAATAGATTTTATGGAAATGCTATTCAAATCGCGTCGAGGATTTCAAGAGCAAATGTGTGAGTCGAGTAGAAAATGATCAGCAGTCTGGTTAAAGGAGGAATTCACGATAAGAATGAAGGTCGAAGAAGAAGTAATTCAGTTGAGACCGGCGGACCTCCTGAGGGTGCGAACTGACGCGCAATTGCAGCGAAAAATTTGACCTCGGCGACTAGCATGGCTCACTCTTGGCGCGGTTGGCGGGGTCCGCCCACCGACCATCTAATCACTCGCCGCAGGTCTATACGTGGCGAGTGATTAGATAGCAGAGAGAGCGTAGTGTTGAAGAGGGCACAGCGATGAGAGTCGCATCAATGCTCAAATCAACGGGCAAGGAAGGGGTCCCATTTCTCGGGTTCTGGGCCGTTTCTCATGGTTTTTCCTTCTTTCGTGTACCACTCACCATCCCTAAGTTAATTTGAAATGGGTTGCTTTTTCATGCGTGAATTCTGTCCTTTAATCTAAGAGACATCTTAAAGGCATGCCCCAGGATTTAACTGGTGTGGTTCTTGCACAGGGATACGAATATACTGGTGCGAAATGGGCCGGTGATAAAGAAAAAAGGAAAAGAATCTCTCGATACGTTTAGGGTTAAGGCTTACTCACCTCAGTGGCTGTGCTAACTATAAGGCAAGGAGAGACTGAGCGCGGAGCGAAGAGTGTGAGGCGAGAGAACGGATGAGAGAGCCCCAGACAAGAGTCATTGTAGCAACTGCAGCTTACTTTACAAAGTTGTCGTCTGGAGATCTATCCCAGACCGAAGGGAACTTGTTCCCAAAACTTCGGCCTGGGTTGTGCCTATAAGGGAATTAGCTTCTCCAAGCTTCAAGTTCTCAAATGTGACGAGCACAGCCATTACAGACGGAATTAATACGCATTTTCTCCAATAAAATTTACTTAATAAAAAAAACTTGCCAAGAACAACCACGATTTTCTCTTCTGGTCGTATCTCCAGATCTCTAAGCTCGATTAATGGTTTACCGTATCTCGGGGCGGAATCCGCATCTGAGGTGCCAACGAACCACGCCCCCGCTGACTTCAAAGTCTGAATTGACTCATTGAAACAAAGTTCAAATATGAATGTGGAATTGAGTCATTGAAACAAAGCTCAAATATGAATGTGCATTATTTGTACAAATATACAGAAAGGCGCTGAGAATATTTTTAGGACATTAGGGTTTCTAGTATGTACGCAACGGCACATGGAGTAGAAAAAGGCTCACCTCATAGAAATATGCGAAAGAGGGAACGCGGACGACTCGAAATGACTCAAGTGCCCCACAAGAGGCTTTGGACATAGCTGGCGTTATCCGGGACGGCCTGTCAAGCAAATTTTTTATCACAAAACACAGAACAACAGTATATGAGCACACAACTAACAGCTCAAACGTACATGATGCATTAGCACTGACTGTGAAGTGAATCCCTCTGAGCATTCCTATTTCATAACTTTCATTTCTAACAAAGGTTCATATGCGCTAAGATTAACACTAATAAATGCTGAGGCAGCCTTCTCGAAGGGGACC